AAGCTGAAGAGCCAGCTCTGTCCGAAGACATCTCCATGGTCATGTGGCCAGCATGACTAAAGGCACATGGAACGCTATTACCTTCCTACCAAAGGTGGTTCCTGTTTTTCTACTTTTATTTGCTTTCGGACTGCTAGGTTGGCAGAAACTGGGACAAGTAACGGGCATTCACTCCATTATGTGGAGCTAGGGATTTGAACTGCTGAACTGCCAACCTTTCTAATCGACAAGCTCAATATCTTAGCCACTGAGCCACTGCATCCCTAAGGTAGGTAGATGAGAACTAAATCCGTATTTGCTTTTGTTCCTGCTGGCTTTAGAGCTGCCTGGGGAATACTTGTTCATTTTTAATCCTTGATGCAGATCTGAACAGCATCAGACCTTGCAGATGGGACAGGAATGCCACCATGATAGGCTTCTGTCCGGTGAGCAGCAGTGAATGTAGGCAAATCACAAATTGGGTGGAGACGACTTGCATGGACCTCTCTGCCTGATTTCTCCAACTGCAGCCTTTCCAGGTAGACCACAACTGCCATTCTTAAGAGTTCTCTGCAGTACAAGAGAACAAAGCAGTGAAGCTGTGGTGGATGGCTGATCTTCCACTAGGTGCATCTGAAGTTGACTCACATTCTCTGCAAAAGGTTTTAAAGGACATTCAAACCTTTTCATTCAGAGTCCCTTGCAAATGGTGCCAATTCATATTCAATTCCCCGAGACATTCTGCAAATGACGTCCTCTCGTAACGCTTGCTTTCAACATCGCAAGGTGTCAACTGTAGTAGTGACTGGTTCACATAATCAACTATCCATTGTTTAAAGTTCATTTCCATCACATAATCCTAGAAACGTAAAATACAACTCTGTCAAAAGAAACATGTTTTCTATGCAGCAAATACAATTTTGTTCCTTTATAACCGATTCTGCTGTAAGAGACAACAGGATAGATGCTCAGCGCTATAATAACTCCTAATTGTATGGCCAAGTCCCTTGTTCATAGTTAAAGAGCATAATGATCATGGGCACTTAAAAAGTGTAACAGCCTATAATGATCATTTTAGTGGGGGCGATGGAAGTTGTAGTACAATACACCTGTGAAGTCATCAAATTGGGAAGAGATTGTGAGTTCAGTTGAAAAAACATCTTGGGAGAAGGAAAGGCAAATGGCTTCTATATTGCTGCCAATATATTGCTGGCTGCAGTCTCCTCCCTGAGAGACAAGATTCCTATAAAGATCTTATAAGTAGGTTTAAGTTTGCCTCTTTTTCCCCCCAACTCATTTTTCTCCTATGTGTGATCCATGAAAGAATGATATCATTTAAAGACATTGACAAATACTTGTGTGACAGTATTAGCACTACCTGTCTAGCTTTATTTGCATGGTAATATTAATGAATTAAATAAGAAGTTCTCCAAAGGGGGGAAAAAACATTTGGTCATATAAACAAAATGAAAGGCTGTAAAGCCTTTAAAGCCTTCTGTGGGGAAAAAAAACCTGACCACATTTTGACAGCTATCTTACCACAGATTAACAGCTATCTTACCACAGATTAACTCTATAATAGATCTCTAGAAGTGGAAAGAAAACTCTAGAAGAAAACATTGCATAGAGATTCCAGATATTTGGAAGCCTGATTTTACCTACTGTATATATCAATTTATCTTGGGAATTAATAAATATTTGACATACGAGTATTAATATCTCACCTTCTCACAAACTCATACAGATAAATTTGACAGACACCTGCTAATTGCTGTCTGGATACCCAGTGGGGTAGGATAATAGGTAGAGGGGAAATAAGAAGTAGTAGACAACATTAGGATGGATGGATGAATGATAGCTGACAGATAGATACCGTAGATAGATAGANCAGGAGCTTAAAGAACATGTGAAACAAGAAATTCTGTAGATCCATCTGTCCTCCAGTTCCATCTGAGTCAAAAAAAAAGGAGCCCAGTTAATTCTACTGGAAACTGAGAGCCCCAGGAGGAAAAAAGTCCATTTCCCATATTTTCTCCCAGGCACATGCCATCCAGGAGGGCATTTACAGCTACATCAGGGAGTAAAACAGGACAGACCTTTTGAGAAGCAGTTCTGGGATCAATTATTTTTTAGGCTTTTTCTTCACCAAACTGACTCTCTGAGGGACCATTCTATAGATCCATCTATACAAGCAGATATCCTAGTTGATTTCCCTCTTTTCCCCATTGCGATCTGTTTTTATTAGGTCAAATTTGAATGGATTTGATTCATCATACCGGTTGTCAACAATTACTATGTTATTTTTGAATTTCAAGGATAAATTCACATATATTGTCCTGAATATATAGGAAGAAAGATAGGATTAAAATGTTGAAGGTCATCAACAAAATGAACTTGACATTTCAAATGTAATGAGATAATATACATACATATATATATATAAATAATGAACATTTACCTTGCAGTCTTTTAATGTGCCCTGTGCAAGAATAGAACTTGCTGGACTCTTCAAATGTTTTAGCCTTCTGCTTTTTGCTTCTAGCCAGCTGCCCAAAGATTGTACTTTGTTTTCATTTTTAACAACAGATTCCAAAATGTGCTCCAACTCCTTTATCTGAATAGAGGACAATTTGTAATTATTTGCACAATTTAGGAATGTTTTGAAAATTTTAGTTTATGGTAATAAGAACAGTAGAAAGAATATTTTCTACAAAGTGCCTCATATTTTAATTTATTATTGTAGCAGAGTTTCTGGACTCAGATATAACAGAAGAAAGCGTTAGACCACCTCCAAATAGTAACTTTAAATTACTGTACTTAATTGGAAATGATTGTGTTGTCATTGTATTATTCCTATCTCTTGGCTGGCTGCTGTGACAGTGGGACAGCATAAACCAACATGGGTATAATGTAGGCTTACTAAAATCTATGGATTAGGGAAGATAAGGTAAAGATTCCCCTTGCATATATGTGCTAGTTGTTCCTGACTCTAGGGGGCAGTGCTCATCTCCATTTCAAAGCTGAAGAGCCAGCTCTGTCCGAAGACATCTCCATGGTCATGTGGCCAGCATGACTAAAGGCACATGGAACGCTATTACCTTCCTACCAAAGGTGGTTCCTGTTTTTCTACTTTTAT